TCATGGTATTTGGTCAGATGTGAGGAGAAGGGCTCTACCCTCACATTCCTCTCCATACAGCTACCTACCATATAACGCTGCTGACTGCCAGCCAGGTAATGTGTCGGCCTGCGTCGGTATCCGAGGAATGCCGAGAAGATAGCGGTGTGTCTCCGCACCGGGCCCTGCCCCGGGGGGCGGAGGGGCGGAGAGGAGGAGGCGCTCCGGGGGGGAGAACTTGTGGGAACTCGTCCCAAACTGCGCAAGGGAGGAGGGCGAGGAGAAGAGGAGAGGAGGAGGTGGTGGTGGTGGTGGGGGGTACTGGGAGGGACTCGGAGCAGGGAAGGCTTCAACATTTTAACTCCACAGCTGTTGTTTGGTGGTGTAAGTTTGGACCACAAACCGTAAAACATGTTCGGGACGAGGGGGCTGTGAAGCGGACTGACAGGTAGGACTGTTGCCCGTTGCCAATGAAACGTTTCCGAACTGCGCAGAAGTTCGTTAAATAACGCGAGAAAAGTTTTTTAACTGTTTGATAGTTGGTTTAACGTTTGTGTGTGTGTGTGTGTGTGTGTGTGTTCCTTTTCTGGACTTTTATTCATACTTATGAGACATGAAGCTGTTAAAGCGTTACTTTAATCTTTTGAAATAAAAATAAATAAATAAAAAACCCGTCGATAGATACTTTGGTTACGTCTTGCTTACCTGTACGTTAACGTCACCTACCTGTTGCTCAATTTTGAAGCACCGACACTCACAATATGTTCCGAGTGAGAACAAACAACGCCAATAAGCTCTGAGTGAATAGACTACATTACTGTTCGCTATAAACCTTGAAGCGTCGGATTATACAGAGTAAGTGCTGAATAAAATAGTTTGAAACACAGCTACATGTGCTGTCAAGTTTCTCAATAGTGGCTCTTGAGCACATTGCACAGGTGTTTCTGTTGCGCTACCTGGGCCAACGCCCCTCAGACAGGATGTTACACCTACTTACCTCATAACAAAACTGTGATTTATTGATCTGTGTGTGTCAACATGGATGTTTGTTTGTGTTATGTGCTACAACAGTTGCCATTTTATTAGTTACACAACTCTCAGTAGCCAAATGCTGCTTTTATAAAGGTTATTATGTTGAGTTTTTTGTTTAAACTGTTTCAGAAAAGGTGTTGTTTCATCATTTTTGTCGCTGTAGTTGGTGGTATTGTTGTGTTTTTAATATAACTATTGGGAGACACCTCTCTGTATAAAGTAGATTTTGTGTATTGAATACTTTTCTAGATTATCAGTGACCCAAAAAAACAAACAAGAAAACCATAAAACCGCACAATACAATCGCAGAATAGTTGTATAGAGCTGAAGCACTTCAGTTAATTGATCAGTTAATTGATCTACAGAGAATTAATTGCCAACTAATCTGATAATATTTTTACCAGGCAGGAAAGGCCAAACATTAACCAGATCCAGCTTCTCATTTTTATTAGCTTATTATTTTTCACACTTTTCCTGACATTTTATACCAACATTTTGTTATTGTATGTGTGTGTGATGCTTCAGTGAAATGTTAATAGTTATATTCAGGGTCAAAGCAGGGTAAACAAGTAAACCTTGCACCAGTGTTTGTGCACATCCCTCCAGCAATCCCTGAACACATGATTTGTTCCACATTGTTTACGCGTGTTCACACACAGCAAGAGAGAGGGAGGCAGACATAGATTTAGATTTGCTAGAATGAATAACAGTTTATGATGGCTGGGAGTTATCTAGCTGAGCCCTGTTGCGAGTTATCTGAGCTGTTCATCTGTGAGCCTTGTGTTTATAGAGACAGGAAAGTGGAAGCTTTGGGAGGAAGGAAGGAGGAAAAAGAGGCGGACTATTAAAAGTCGCTCAGTTTGTGTGGTGTTAATTACAGAGCCAGACCTTGGCAGTGGCCTTCCATCCTTGTGTTGTTCATATTCAAAGGAAAAACATGGCACCATCATCTGCCTCCCTGGGGTTCAGTTTAGTAGCCCCAAATCACCTTTTTTCTCTTGTTTTTCAGCAAGAGGAGGAGTGTCAGTGCATACTTTAGCCAGCTGAAGGTAAGAGGTTAGGCAAAACGCCCTCTTTGTCTCTCTCTCTCGCTCTATAGCTACATTATATCCTTCATACCCTCACACATACAGAGTGTGAGCACTGAAAACATGCTTTCGATTAACTACAGTCTCTGCTGGGCTGCTGCTCTGTGTGTTGTAGGTGTTTGGTGGTCGGAGAGAGATGGAGTCGCTGAAGAAAGAGCTGGAGGAGGAGCTGAAGCTCAGCACTGAGGACCTGAGGAGCCACGCTTGGTACCATGGTCCGCTGAGCCGAGAGGTACTCAATAAACCACGCTATTCTTGCTGAATTTACACAATAAACATTTTATTTATTCTTAATTAAAGGATCAGATTGAATATTAGTTTGGAATTGCTTATCTGCTGTCTTTCGAAGTGTTATATGAGAAGATCAATGCCACTCTCACCTCCTATACAATTAAATATTAAGGTGGCGCCAGCAGCTGGTTAGTTTAGCTTGGCACAAAGACTGCAAACAAGAGGAAGCAGCTAGCCTGGCTCTGTTCAAATGTAACAACGTCTGCCTACTAGCACTTCCAAAGCTTACAAAAAAAAGACTTCCTGGAGTCTTGTTGTTACTGCAAGGTTGCCAGGCAACCAGAAGAGACTCAAGGAAGTCACTGCTCCCAGCCAATAAATTGTCCGACACATATCCCCTTGTCGTTTTGTCGTTTTTCTACTTCGGTTTATGTTTGGATTTAAAAATAAACTAAACTAACTAAATATAACGGGTTAGTTAGTGAACTTTAAAGGGGGAGGGCAGATTTTGTTAAATTTGGACGGAGCCAGGCTGGCCGTTTCCCCTTGCATACAGTGTTTATGCTAAGCTAAGCTAACTGGCTGGTTTCATACACTCAGTTGCCAGTTTATTAGGTACACATAGTTAAAACTAATGCAGTCAAATACAGTCCTGCAATAACTCCTATTTTCATGAAGGTTATTATATTGACCCACTTAACCTGCTGACTTGTCTCCAGGCTGCAGAGTCTCTGTTTGAGAGGGACGGAGACTTCCTGGTCCGAGACTCAAGCTCTTCCCCTGGTGACTACGTTTTGAGCTGCTTTTGGAAGGACGGGCCCATGCACTTCAAGATCATACGAGTGGTTCTTCGTCCCAAAAAGGTGTGTCTATGTTTCTTGTGAATCATTGTTAAAATAATTTGAAACCAATCCCAAACATTAGCTTTTTTCTGTTTTCTATCAGTGTTTAGGTTTTAAGGGGGTTGGTTGGGCAAAAGACGTCACTGTGGCTTCCTGAAAGTGGTGATTGTCATTTTACACTATTTTCCATTTTGTAGACCAAACGATAGTCATATAATTAGAAAAATAACCTCAAAGTTATTCAGTCTTTAAATAAGTTTAAGCTAATTTAACTGTCTGTTAAATATGATTGAAGCCAAGCTAGTACATGGTCTGATGCCCACCCATTTCTTAAGTCTAACAATCAACATATTGTAGTAGATAGTATAAAATGCTGCAGCTGCAAGAAGTACAGCCACATTTTCACATTACATCATCACATCATTAACGACTTTCAGCAGGGCAGTCTTTGTGCTGGGGTTTGTTCGATAACCAGATCGAAGTTGCAATTTTTGGTTAAAATGAACCTGAAGTTGATTAAAAAACATTTTTTTCTAAAAGTTTGCCAAGAAAAGGTAGATGAGTCTGTAACTGTTTATCTAGATTGGATTTCTTGAGGAGATGTTTAACCACAGAAGTTTTGAATGCTGCAGCGGAGTTTATATTTCTTTTGTTATGTAATGCCTTATTCTTTTAAAATATTTGACATTTGTTTTATATTGAGGGGTACAGATGGTTGAATATTTAAAGGAAATAAGAATGAGAAATATTACACATGCAAAAGCTTTCATACAAGACACGAGGGGCCATTAAGAAGTTCGATGAAAATGAAAATGATGTGAATCAATTGAACAAATTTGAATTGTCATCCATCTGTCTATGTAATACTCTGTCTATCTCTTATACAATAGTGTCAAACAAAATATTCAAAACTTTCAAAATAATGCAGTCGAGTACAACAGTATCTCTAACCTAGGCCTCAAAAATGATCATAAGCTGAGTCACAGTTTTTGCTGACACTGTGTCAGCTTGATATATTATATGTGTGCCTTCATCTGTGCGACAGGGCTACTCTCGGGAGCTGTTCCAGTTTGAGGAGGATCGCTTTGACAATGTTCCTGCTCTGATCCGATTCTATGTGGGCGGGCGTCGACCCATCTCCCAGGCCTCGGGCGCTGTGATCTTTCACCCAATCACACGGACCCTTCCTCTGCGTGTCATCACTGAGCGACATACGGAGCCCAGCAGCAGCAGCAGTAGAAGTGCAGGGGTAGAAAAACACACTGAATCCAAGAAAAGACGCAGCTTCAGCTCTGCACACGCCGACACACTGCAGGTTATCAATCCACTGCTAAGGTGGGAATAAATCAGTTGAAATGTAGTGTAATGCACTGAAACACACTGCTTACACAATACAAATCATGCTGATGGCCTTTATTTTATGCGTGCAGGAGTGGAAGTCAGCCTGCTAACTTGGAGAACGTGGGACGGAGGCCTTCACTTCAGTCTGCACAATCTGACAGCAACCTGCGAACTGGTACATTATCATAAACATGCAACCTCTACATACATACGTCTGTCTGACCCCTAATGTCCACTGGATGCAGCTCTGTCACAATCCATTGTCATTCCAGCCACTGCTTGCAGCTCGTGGGGCTCTTCTTTCCAATCCTCTGTCTTTATGCACCATGTCTGATTTGCCAGAGAAGCCTAACAATAATCTCTGAAGAAGGAAATTCACTTGTGAATGTATATACATGCTAATATTTACTGACAGTTGAAATGTATTTCTTTCTTTGTCTGGACATACCACTGCTCAGGAAATACAGATACAAAATGAAGATGAGACAACACGCTGTGTATAGTTCAGCAGAGCACCAGCTGCCAGTGAAACAGCCGACAAGTTATGTTCAGCTGGCTACTTTATTAGTTTTCAATTCTAAAAAAATTGTTTTGTCTGACAACTAGTTTTACAAACAGTAGCCTTCCCTTCAAAACAACTCAAGCATGATAATAGAAAAACAAACAAACCTATCTGTTGTATGTGTGCGTGTGCGCTCAGCTGAGAGGTTGTGTCCTGCTGAGTAGAGAGTGAAGAGTCGTCTTCAGTTTTGACCAATATTTGCAAAATAATTTATATTAAAAATAATTGCATTTACTGCACAGACAGGGGGCATCCTCATTAGACGGGCTACTGTGGAAAACACCGGTGGCAGCAACTTCACGATTGTGAAATAAGCATTAAAAAGTCCACCGAAAGCTCATATATATATCACAGACATTTATGGGTTTAATGAATGAACTAATTAATTAGTTATCTTCATTTACATTGCGCTGTTTACAGCAGAGCATTGCATTGCAAACACACTAAAATAGGCAATTTTGGGATCAGTGAGTAGGGAGTCATATTAAAAGGACTGCCTTGTTATGAGAGTGGCCTGTGATTGATGTGTGACTGATTAGAAATGATGTTCCAATCAGCTTGCTGTCTGCTGATTACAGCTGTGGCTTATGACTTCCATGTCCTGCATGAACTGACGCAACGCTTCATTACTTTAAATGAGTTTAGTTTAAAGTACAGCCAAAAAGGATCTGTTGCCACATTGATTATAAATGAGCTGCAGAGTTGTTTTCAGTATGCTTGTGTAAAACACAATAAAATAACCAAAACAACTTTAAACAATGCTGGATATGTGGCTCCATGTCTAAAATACCCACAATAGACATTTGTGGACATTTGAACCATGACACAGACATGAAGCAGAAACAAACAAAAACAGAATCCTTTTTTCACCATGTTGTTTATCTGTGACTCACCCAGGTGCCCCGCAGAAAGCTCAGTCAGAGGACACTGCCCCCCCCCCAATCTCTCCAGTGTTTCGCACAGGCAGCGAACCCCTGCTGAGCCCACGACCACGACACACACGGCCCTCCCATCCAGGTAAAATGCACACACACTTCTTATTTCTTTTTCTTTCTTTCTTTATACAAATTAAAAAGAAAAAAGAAAAAAAATAATTTGTCAGAAACCTGTTCGGTGAGCAGTAATTGCTACCTCGACACCAGAATGGTTTTCATAATGGAATATTACTGTAGATAACAACATAGACCCAACACAGAAAGAAGCCATTGTAACCTCGGGTAAGAAAATGACTGAGAGAAGAAAGGGTAGGTATAAAAAGCAATGTTCTAGCTTTATTTTTAACTGTTATAAAAAAGAAATGGTGAAGCTCTCAGCACCACTCTAAATTAGTTTGAAGTGAAACACCAGCAATGCATTGCTAATTTGAGCGTATTAGACAGGGCCATGGTTACCGTACTGACACAGGTCATGTCCTCACTATTCTTCTGTGAATTTGTGGGTTTTAGCAACCAAAGGGCACATTCATTTATGACCATTTGGACCCATTTCCCCACCAGAACTGTATTCCTGGCTGCGTGGAGAGGGATTTTAAATTACATTTATACCTTCACGTTGGGAAACAAAATGGTAATGCTTTATTTTAAGGCTGTGTAATTTCATTGTAATTTCCTATAGGAAGTTTCTCACAGTAGAGACAATGTTCTGATGCAGTTAATTTTAGTTCAGTAAACTGGTTTTGTATGGTTTTCAGAATTAACTGTTACAGGAAATTCCCTATGATCTCAGTATTTATAATATCCTCATTATGGCCTTTACATTTCATAGAAAGGGAAACTAGTTACAGGTCAGGGCCAAATTGTAGTGGTGACAACATCTTGCTGACTGTGTATTCTGACTGTTTCTCTTGGACCTTTCTGGGTCTCTTGTGTCTTTAAATGAGACTGCCAATGACACACGCACATACAACTCCCTCCTCTGTCCCCGCAGGTGGTGGCGTAACTTTGCGAGGTTCAGACGGACAGCTGCACTCCAGAGCTCCTCCAAAACCTCTCAGGGTCTCTGTTGTCTTCCCCAACGCCGTCCCACCCCCACCTACAGACCAAGACTATGACCCTTCTTCTTTTTACGATGAGCTGGTTGTCCAGGTAAGGAACTCCTCACAAACTGCTCACTGCTCAGTTGATTGTGATTTTGTCTGTAAAATGAGTAAGGCTGTCTGTAAATGTCCACTTCCTGTTGTGTCCAGGTGCCACAGTCCGGACGGAAGGGTCATGTGGACCGCCTGCGTGCAGAGGAGAAGTGGCAGAGCCGGGCCCGCCTCACAGAGACTTCCTTTGGCTTTCTGGAGGCACAGAAAAATGAAGTATCGGTGCCGATGCTGCCGCAGAAGAAGGGGGCAGAGGAAGTGGAGGACTGGCATTTTGAAAAGCCACATGTTTGTATAAATTATAATAATATTATTATTTCTTTAATAGTTAGTCAAAGTTTTCACATTTGCTTAAATTAATAAAAAGGTGACTACACCAGGGTTTTGCAAGTATTAGCTCTTGTATATTTTACATTGTTGCAGTTCAGATTCATTTTAAATGCATCCGTCAAACAGAAAGTAAAGTCTAAGTGATTTGTGGTAAATATTCTAAAACATGCAAAGCTACTTTTATTTATTTACTTTTTACCGAAACAGTGCAAGATATAATGCACAGGAATGTAGTTATTATTATTTTTATTATTATTATTGAATATCCCTCAGTTTAAAAGGTTGTAATTGAGAGAAACTGATCAGGATTGTAATCTTAAAATATGTGTAGCTAGCAATATGAGCTACACTGAATACCTGCAACCACAGCAACATAAAAGGAAACTTTCTATGTTGTTAAGATCATGTCTAGATGGGCCTTTTACTTTTGTTAATGCTGACACATTCCTGAGAGAATCTAGGCACCTGTCCTCATATTGTTTCTAACCTGTGATGGCTGAACTGACTTGCTGAGTGTCTTTTTGCCACCAGGTGTCAGAGTGATGCTGTATGTGACAGTTTTTAACAGCTGTCTGTTTGAAAAGTGCTATATATGTTTCTCAGTAATTAACAACTGTGAAATGAGCATGAACATTGCACACCTACAGTACAACAGGTAACAGCACAGAGGGTCAGAGTTGTACTAATGTTGTTACATCCTTCTTACACCATCACAGGTAGAGTCAGAGTCGTGTTTCCAGTTGGATCACTTTAAGTCGGTGCTTTTGCCGGAGAACAACCGACCTCTGGAGCCCAGCGTCCTGCTGACACTCAAAGAGCTCTTCAACCGATCAAAAGCAGACACCACCGCTCTGCACATGCTCAGCGTTGACTGCCAGGTAGCTCTCAACAGTCTTTGCCAAGTAGATCTTTAGAATCAATATATGCTTCATTTTTTTATTATTATGTTTATACAAAAAAAAGTGTAACAGCCTATTGAATGTTTAAATCAAATGCAAATAATAGGCTAAAACTACCCTCTTCTGAACATAATATTCATCATTTGTGTTCGCTACAGAACATGTCGCATAAGGAGTATTTTTTATTGAAAGAAACTTGATAAATTGATTCATACTTATGTTTTCCTGTAAAAATTTGAAAAAAATCTGTCTGTCATTTAAACATTTAAAAGTTTTAATAATTACAGGCCCTGGCTTAAAACTTGGTGTTTTTCAGTAAACTCAACAAACCAAACTGCCACAAATCGAGAGTAGCTTAAATAATCACTGAAAGAATTGGATGTAGAACCTGAATGGCCATTGATCTGTCATTGTTGTGGTACTGCAGGTAGCACGCATCGTTGGGGTGACTGACGAGCAGAAGAGGATTATGGGAGTTGGATCGGGGCTAGAGCTTGTCACTTTGCCACACGGACACCAGTTGCGACAGGATTTGTTAGAAAGGTACATAAAGCTGACACACTTAAAAATAGAGATGAATAGATACTTTAACCCACACCAGAAAAGTTATTTAGTGACTTAATCACTCTATCTGGGTGGCTAGAAGAACTGTCTGTCATTTTGCCTACTCTCACACACCTCTAATATATTTATCTTCCATTTTGTAGGCATCATCTAATAGCACTGGGAGTCGCAGTGGACATCCTGGGCTGCACAGGGACTGTGAGCCAAAGGGCAACCGTTTTACATAAATTAATCTTATTGGCTCAGGCCCTGAAAGAACACGCCTACAACCTCTACTCCTTCTCAGCAGTGATGAAGGCTCTGGAGATGCCTCAGGTAGTGTAATTATGACTAAGATATGCTTGCTCTATGCAAACTAAGGCAAAGTGGAAGCTGGTTTAGGTTTTCAAACACTCTTGCTATGTTTGTGCGTGCAGATAATGCGCCTGGAGATGACGTGGCGAGCGCTGAGGAGGAACCACACAGAAACTGCAGTTTTATTTGAGAAGAAACTCAAACCCTTCATGAAGTTGCTGAACGAGGGAGACGGTAAGTGGTGTTGATAAAGAGAGAAATGCATTACATTGCATTCATTTGGCAGATGATTTTTTATTTTTCAGACTCAGGAGCTGCAGTCAGTTTGTCATGTAAAATCAAAAAGACTGAGGAATAAAGCCATAAATGAAATTTAGTTCATTTCATCACTTGAAACATTTTATCAGACTTCACACATCTCCTCCTGGAGCCACAAAAGGCTTTATACAACTTTTTAACATATGCAGTGGTACTCCTAGAGACCTATAAACAGACTTTGAGATGTAGAATTGGCACACTTTCCCTTTGATAGAGTGAAGTTCTAGATAAAAAAAAAAACCTGTTACTCCAGACAACTGCTATATAAATAGCACTGTGGCCCAATTTTTAGGTAGTGGATGTATTGCATATATTTTATGTGTACTCTGTGTTCATTTTCTTTTCTCTATAGACTCTGTGGTCGACGGTCCCATAGCCGTGCCACACCTGGTTCCTCTGCTGATGGCGATGGAGGGTGAGGACCCGGTGGAGGACAGTGAGCGAGGCTGTCAGCTTCTCTACGATGTCCTCCAATCAGCTCGCAATGCTGCGCTGCACGCACAAGATTATCAGCAGCATGCACACTCTCTGCTCACAGGTACGCAGGCATGCACAGTAATGTCCTCTCTTCTTTTCATTGACAGACAGTGGTCCTCATGCAAGAACATTACTGTACACTTATCCGTTTTTTGTGATGTTTGTTCATAAGAGAGCTTGCAGTTGTATTCACCAAATTCTCTTAACTGGGTAAACTTAAAAATAACTTGTTCCACCAACCAATATTGGACTGTTGGAAATTGCAGAGTCAGTAGTGGAACAGTAGGACCTGAAACTATTAAAAAATACCAACAATCTGCCAATGACGTGTCACCAGAGCAGCAATGTACTGTGAAAGAAATGAAGAAATAATGGTTTGACATCACGACTATTTACTTTAGTTTTAACAACTTAATTCAGATTAAAGACTGTTCTTCTTAAGTCAAACAGGTGTTTTCTGCCCTGTAGAGAGAGGCAGATTTTCTTTTACATTTGTACCTCAGAGAAAATTCAAAGTACAAGAAAATTGGTGATTGCAACAAATTCTCTTGAATCACTCATACATATTTACGTCATTGTAAAGATAGTATAGCTCTGGCAGGAAGCACAAAAGTATAAAGTATTATACTCTAAAACAGTGTGTACATTGTGAAACCGAATGTGAAATTACATAATTGGTGGTATCTGATCCGATCAAATGTTTGTCACGCTTCTTGCGCAGAAGGCTGGGAGCCGATCCCTGAGCTGCTGGAGGCATTCCGGACGGAGTTCGCCCTGCGGCTGTTCTGGGGTCAGTCGGGGGCAGCGGCCGACAGAAAGGAGCGCTATGAGAAGTTTGACAAGATTCTTTGTGTCCTCTCAGATAAACTGGAACCCGTGGAGATCACCCCACAACAACCTGACCCTCTAACCTGAGCCTCAGGGCCTGTTTCTCTAAATTAAAGGTGAAATCAGCACTTTCTTCACTAGGGGAAAATAAAAAGCAGAGATGAAAGTGAAATGTTTTATTTGAGCCTCGGCGTGTTGCAGGAACCAACGCGGGGATCTCACCCCTGAGATCACACAGACATAAAGAAAAGTTCTTTTTGAGATGTAAGAGACTGTCAAGCAACAACTTAACTTATAAGAGAATGAATTACATCTGGCATGTGCGGGCCCTGGGCAGTCCTTTACTGTGAAAAGGGCTGCGTTGGATTCATTTGACATTTTTAGGAAATCTGAAATTGTTTACTTAAAAACTAGCATCTGTTTACTTTTTTAAATGTGCATTTCTGATACTCCAACACTGTTTTATTAATCCACACCACTTGTTTGATACTTGAGATTCCAAAGGACCAACATGAACACTATCAAAACTGAGTTAGTTCCCTTTGTACGTAAACTGCTGCTGTAATAGACCACACTGGAAATTGTGTTTTTAATTTCAGTGTTTATACTGCATTGAATGTATGTTTATTACTTCTTGGTTGCCAGTTTTTGCATGTAATATTTCTCATATATGATATTGTAAAGAACCACAAATGACAATAAATGTTTTTTTCTTTGCACTTTATGACTCAAATGATACAAAAAAAGATGGATCATACAATAATACCCCTAAAATGTCCACTAGTCCAGGACAGAGTTGCAGAGAAAGAGATGGGTAAAACCATACCTGGCCAAACAAGATTTTGAGTCCTCCTCCACTCAAAAATGTATTTGTTTTCTTGTTTGAGCTTCACTGTGCAGAATCATGTATGTCCGGAGTTTGACAAATGTGTCTGCTGCAGGACGAAAGTTTCTCTGCTTCGCCTTAAACCTAAAAACCATTGTCTGTTTACACAAAAGTGATATGGAAACTTAAAACCTCGAGAGCACAAACAAAAATGAACTTTCCAGTATACAGTATTCATAGATTCTGGATTTTATGATGAGAAAGAAGCAAACCATAGAATTGTTAACTAGCTAAATTAAATTACTTGTTTGTGGAAAAACCATATTGGACACATATTATTTACAGCAGAGTATTTTTAAAACATGTCTGGAGTGCATCTTTAAACACTCTTATCAGATTTTTCGAACTGTTTCAACCTTTTTGTTTTACTGGCAGTGGAGTATTTAAGATTCACCTCCAATTTCCTTCCATTTAAACTTGAACAGGTCATCTGGATTTCAGGTCAGAATGACAAAGGTTTATAAAAATGTCCTTTGTTTCAGAGTATTTCAGAAGGCCAATAAGAGGCCTGGAGGCTCAGTATATAAAAACAGGAGGTTAAACGACTAGTATGGCAGGTGGCTGGGGGGACGACCAATTATAAAAACCATCAAAGAAGAACAAGTTGAGCCACCAGCTTTCTGACCAGTCAACCACTAATTGGGGTTGCAAAGTTTGTTGGGACTTTAAAAGTGGAAGACCAGGGGACTTCCACTTTATGTGATGCCACATCTTATCACATTAAAAACACGCAGGTTTCACAAGGTATTTGGGGTGTCAGTTAATTATGAGCACGGGTTAATTCGCCATATTTTTTACGTTTACATTGAGGACTGATTAGGATTGGTGGCGTGGGTTACCATTGTTTTTTTTTTTACCCACCCTGGGTGCTTAAATTCAAAGAAAGAGAGGACAAAAGACATTACAAAGCAAGTTTCCTTGCAGACTTCACTTTAGTAGGGAAAATGTAAAATGCAGTTCAAACGTTTACATTGCCAGTTCAGTTCATACTGGTCATTAGATCCCTCCATAAAGGGCCTCCAATGTCAGGGATGCCTTTGTTCTGTGTAAAAACATTTTTGAAGGTTATTTGAAACTAATATGAAATCCCAGCAGGCTGAGTTACTCATATCAAGAGGGCATCTTCTAAAGTCTTTTTTAGTAGCTGGAGCATAGTTAGGAGCTGTAGTGGAGGATAGTAACACAAAGAATTAATCTTGCATTAAAAACAACTTTGGAAGATGCCCACTTGATTAGTCTAACCCAGACAGCAGAAGCCTCATATTAGCTTCAGAAAAACTGCATTTCTTCCCAGAACGAGGAACTGTGCATTTTGTCCCCCATCTCTTACATTAGAAGCACATTAGGAAGGGATCTCTTCA